CCACCGCAGTGTCATCGGCTGCGACCGTAGGTATGACATGTTGGCTTTGGGCGGAAACTGCTGGCTTCGTCTCAGAAACTTAGTTCAGCTATAACCAAAATTACCAGACGGTAGGCATGCAAGGGCAGACAGAATCATATTTCGCAAATCCATTGCACGACAATAACATTAGCCACTGATCTACGTGACAACGACATCAAAGCACATCGATACGCAATAAGTCATGAGTATTGACAGTAGAAGATTAACCAAAGACAAGACCACAGCTTGCGTTCTCTTCCTCGCACGACACCAGGAACTAATGGGCCATCTATCCATGATTCCATTGAACGTTCCCTACCAGGGCATCGCGGTTGTGACGCAACTTGCGCGCCACCGAGACAGCGATCTAGCCTCGCTTGCGAAGCTGAAGGATCATATAGCAGGGCATAGGGCTGATATAATCTCGAGAATTCCGTAAGAAAGATAGGCTTGAAACAGAAACAGGAACAGGCGGGCGTAGCCGCAGACCGCACTCGCCAGATTGCGATATGGTTAATCAATGAGCGAAGTGGTTCCCGTGGTGGGCAGCTGCACGAGCATGGTGGCGACGGCGGGAGTCAAACACCGCTTTCATGTCGTAGTCCGGCCTGGGAGCACGAGCCGTCCAAATAGAGCGACGCGCAATATCGGTAGCATCGCACGTCTCGGTTGGATCTGCGCTGGTCGTCGGACTGGGAGCTACGCTCGATGGAGAAGACGTTGGGGCTGGGGACGAGGAGGGAGCCGCAGGAGTGCTCGACACAGCCGGAACGCTTGAGACGGCAGGGGTGCTCGATACAGCAGGAGTGCTTGACACAGCAGGAGTGCTCGACACAGCAGGAGTGCTCGACACAACAGGCATGCCGGACGCGGCAGGAGTGCTCGATTCCTCAGGATCATCACAACCATCCGTCTCCGTAGGAGATGGAGCTGCAGATGGCGCACTCGAAGCAGCAGGAGTAGAGCTCACGGCCGGAGTGGAGGATGGTGAAGCAGCAGGAGTGCTCGATTCCTCAGGATCATCACAGCCGTCGGTTTCAGTGGTAGAAGGGGCACCAGACGAAGGTGAGCCAGAAGCGACAGGCGCAGACGTCGGAACCGCTGGGGTCGACGACGGAGAAGCAGAAGGAACGCCCGACTCTTCCCCACAGCCGTCAGACTCGGTAGGCGATGGAGCGGCCGAAGGAGCCGAACTAACCACGGGCGCAGATGACGGAGCAGATGATGACACTGGCAAGCTGTTGGGGACACCAGTAGTAACAATGGGTGAGCTGGATGCGAGTACACTTGAAGTGGGTCGAGGGCGGCAAGATGATTTGGGCTTTTTGGCCTTCTTCGAAGATATGGGGCTCGTACTGGCAGTCGCAATCGGGGACGAGGAAGCAGGTGTCAACGTCGAAAACACAGGAGTCGAGGACGGTGAAGCCGCAGGAGTGCTCGATTCATCTCCGCAATCGTCCGTCTCGGTGGGAGAGGGGGCAGCAGATGTAGCAGGTAGGGTCGATGTTGGAGAAGTGGTGGGAATACTTGACTCGTCGCCACAATCGTCCGTCTCCGTAGGAGAAGGAATCGCGGACGGCGTCGAAGAGACTGCCGGAGACGACGCATTCGCAGCGGGAGCCGATGACGCACCAATCAGTACGGGAGGTACCGAGAAAGTCGCATTGGGGCTCAGAGAAGTCGTTGCAACGCTCGTCGGAGCACTGACGGCTGTCGGGGTACTAGACGGCACTGGGACGCTGAGAGAGGTCGGGACAGATGAAGGGGACGCCGAAGGAGAGCTGGTGGGCTCACTTGCAGGTGCAGACGACGGGGAAGTGGAAGGACTGGCCGACGTTGGCAGGCTATAGGGGTTGAGCGTTTGAGCATCGGCGCAGTACGCGATGAGCAGATTGATCTATATGTTCACACTGAATTTCAAAGACAAGAAGAATATAACATGGATACATACGTTGTCCTCCAAACAAGCAACCTGTACAGCATTTTGATCAGACTGGAAAAACGCATCGGGACAATTAGCATCGGCACCTGAGAACATACAAGTGGTCAGGATTCAAAAGTAAACATCTAATCATAAAGGTATGTACTAACAGTTGGCACCAGTGCCGTTGCATCCGTTAGTTCCTCCCCAGTAGCTAAGATAGGGATGTGAGATGACCCGTGGCATTTAACGAGCCATCCTGACTCTTACCTGAACGACGCTTGAACATTGAATTCGTGCCTTTCAAAGTCAAGTCCATCATTAGCGCCTAATTATCGCAGCTGTAGAATTGTAAAACTTACGGAGGAATCAGGCTGATATCAACAGAAGCCCCTCCTCCTTCTCCATTAGGGTCACCAATAGTCATCTCTAGCAAAGTGCACTGCTCGCCATTGAGCCCACAGGCACCTGTAACACATTTCAGAATCAAATATTGATCAGCACTTTCAGAAGAAATTCCCTCCAAGCATACACATACCAGTCTGCAGATACCTACAGAAGAAAGTGATTAGTCTGTTGCGAAACAACGAAATCAACAGACTTACGCAATTGCAGATTCAAAGGGACCGTTGGAGACATAATCCTGTCCCGTAGAGACGATGTTCCCACCTTGAACGAGTGATGGCTGAAAGAAAGTGAGCTTTCTCTTCAATAAATCCCGGGCATATCGAAACTTACAGTTCCGTAGCCACACCTGTTGGGAGATATGAGACTGGGTCGTCGAACGGCAAGTAGAAGACTAACCCGTTATAAGTACGGATGATGTGCTGTTCGGCGTTGACGGCTGCAGACGCGTAAAGAGTGGCAGCGAGAGCAGCAGAAACGAGAGTGAAATGCATTGTGAGCGTAAGGCTGGGATCGTCACGGGCTAACGACGCCTATATAGCAGCGTGAGCTGCAGAGGCGATGGGAGAAGGGAAGATTGAGGTTGAAGGGAAGGCAGCGGTTGAACAAGGCCGAGAAGAGAATGAGATATACTAACACGCGATCGGAGGACCCCGTGGACCGCCTGCGTTCAGAAAAGGCTCCGCTGCCGATTTTCTTCTCGTCTCCACTGCCTCATGCTCTCTAAACGCCCAGGACTTGCTGTTGAGATCATTGTGCCGCGCTGCCATGGCACCAGTGTCGCCCGGCGAGGGTGATGCCCGCGCACGGTGGACATCTGGATTGAGCGACACGGACATGATTTTTGGGCGGACGGCACGTTGACCTGCGGTTCGATCGGCGCGCCCCTTCGGCTTGGCTCGCCAGCCCAGTCGCTTGAAGAGGCCGATAAGCAAACCGGCGTAGCTCTGCGCTGCTGCCAATAAACACACACTGTGGTCGTTTATCTCCAAACCTCTTGTATTCGCGGCAACAAGCACACGAAATTGGGCTATATACACCGTAGCCGCAAGGTACAGTAGCCTGGACGAGCAAATCTGCCATTAGGTTCCACACACACCAGTTTGCCCTCTACGCCGGTCAGGTTTATGAATGACAGAAATATCTGCGGGGAACGCTCGAACTCACTCGTCATCCGATGCTAGGTGCCGAATGTAGCCCAAAGGAGTATTGCCTGTGTAGACCATCGAGGGTCTCCCAGTGCTCTTGTTGGTTCCGCGTACTGCTTTAGTAAACACGTTTTCGGTGTAAAGTAGATAAGCGCACCATGATCATGATCGCGGGAATTGTTTCTTAATGTCTACTTCTCACCAAATGCGTGAGCAGATTGCCTATAGGCATGATGACCGCCACGGTCACACCTGGAAACGCCAGACGTGTGACTATGATCTCTTCCAACTTGCAGAAACCAGCTCGTTCCTGAGATAACTTACTAGAATATGCCAAGCGAATTGCTCAAAAGTTGGCAGTGGAGGAATCTCTTGGTTCCTTGGTCGCAGCCACCATGATGAAGAGTGCGCTGATTGTGGCTAGTAATGGTGTCTGGGATTCTCAGTATACATACCTGAAACTCAGAGAAATATGATGCCCACCTGAATGACCTTCGATTCGGTTGGCTGGTTGCCGCTCGCTGAGAACAAGACACATTTACCACGTTCATTAGAGTACTGTCACATTTGGAATACACCAGAACATCACGATGTCATTCTGTTCGGGGAGTGTAACGTGTGCTGAGGATGGCCAGCGCAGGTGCGAATGCAAGTGGCTGAGAAACAGAGGAGAGAGCGCAAGAAGCGGTGGCCGCCGCTCGGGAAAGCGGGGAGGGCACGTGGAGGGAGAGCAGGCGAGAGGCGGAGGCGCGCAGAGCTTGATCCCGCCCACCGTCCTGGCCATCCTCCACCCTGGCTTCACTCTTCAGGCAGCCCTCCCCGCGGTCTCCGGCCCCGCCCTCATCCTTTCCCCCTACCTTATACCCCGTCGCATCTAACGACCTCAATCCAAATGCCGCCGTCCAGCGCCGCATCTCACGCTCAGACTTAGACTTCGAACAGGCCCTGCGCACTGGAGGCACCGTCGTCCTCAAAGAGGGCCTCGACGTAGACTCCCTCGGCGCAGACATCTCAAACACATCTATATCCTTTTCTACTCCGTCTCCATCTATTCAGAAGCACTACGTGGGCCTCAAGCCCGCCACCCCCACCGTCGTCCCTCCGACCCCGTCTCCCGTGGTCAGTCCTCGTCCAGGCCCATCTAATTCTTCCAGGACGCGCCCGTCATTATTGCCGTCTTCGTCCTCGAATGACGTGTTTTCCGACGCCCAGGACAGCGACTATCAGACAAGACGGAGGTCGATGTATCGTTCACCCGGGACAGCCAGTAGCCCCGATCTCGCTACGCTCCTCCGCAAGGCCAAGGAACGTGGAGGACCGGCGAATAGAGAGTCCGGAAAAGCCGCTGACTCTACACTCACTCCGAACAGAGCTGCTGGATCGAGAGGCATGAACCGCCAGCAATCCTCCCCTACGTCTTCGCCGCAGGCTTCGCCGGCTCCTAGAGGTAAACCCAGGTCAGATCAGCTACTCGGAGGTGACCACGGTGGTGTTGGGAGTGTGAATCCAGAGTGGGCATGGACGAGTCCACGGTCAGCGGGGCCGCCAAAGGTACATGCCTACAGCTCTTTTAAGCCCTAATCTCAAATTTGCTACAGCAGAATCCAAAATCTTCTGTGCGAGCGAAAACATCCGCATTCCTAGGCAAAATGCTTGGTTCCTCCAGCACCCGCGAGCGATCGGTAAGAAAACTTTGCAAATAGACACCGCCCACTGATTGACACCTCTGGCAGCGGACGATTACATCCTCTCCGTCTACCACTTCCATTACGTCGTATCCGCTCATGGATGCCTTTACTCCTCCAGTCCCGCCTATCCCGCCTAAGCACCAGTCACAGTACTCTTCCCCGCGCGCTGGTCCTTCAGACGTCTTTACTGATGCTCCCAGCACTGTTGATATGGACAAAATGCTGCCACCCACGGACAGCATACGTTCGGACCTTGATGATCTGTCGTTAGTCATGGTTGATGGGCCGCTGACCGACCGCTCACGGTCACCATCGCCGACCAAAACCCTCAAAGAGCGTCCGTTGAACGGCAATGCGAAGCATGTTAAACTTCCAAGCCGGAGCAAACGGAGAAGTATGAGTGTCAGTGATGCGGATATTAAGAAAGTCATGAATATGGGTGCAACATCTACTTCGGCTCGCATGTCGAGCGAGGCACGTACCGGAGGTCTCGGATGGGATTCAGCACTGAGCGGAATCATCTCTGACTTCAAAGGAGAACTATCACAACTGGACCCGATCTCCACAGGGCCGCTTGATCTGCGCGATCCAACCACGCCTTCGCGACGGCCGGCTCTCGCAGCCTTGCGCGCTCGTAGCGAAGACACTGCACCGCGAGGCTCACCAGCTCGCCCACCATTGAAACTCACAACCTCCGCCCCGATGCAGCTCCCGACGCCCAGGGTGACCCTGCAGCCCGCAGAAGGTGCACAGAAATCATATTCCGCTGGTCCGTCTCTCGAGACCCGCCCGTCGGTACAGGAAGACAACACGGAAGTTGCCCTTGTCCCACCAAGATCTAGCTCCTTACGATCGCAAACACACACGCCCCCACGAGCTCGATCGGGCTCGAGCGGTATGGCTCCACGTGTAGCGTCGATGAAGTATGGTCCACGTGCACAGCCTATGCGAAATGGAACTGCGCCTGTGCTAGCACAAGCTCCCTCGCCGTCGACGAAGCGCGATGCGGAGCGACTCCGGGTGCAGCACCGCTCGACGGCGTCGACGTCTGAGCCATCGCTGATCCCGGAGCGGGAGGATGGACGTGTCCGTGAGCGTGCTTGTGTTACACAGTGTCGTACTCTCCCTGATGACGTGTTTTGTGTATAGAGCCAGGCTTGTCTGCGAGCTCGCAACAGGACCTCACGACGAATGATCTAGTTAATGGGCGCTTGAATCTCCATGCGCGTGGTTCGCCCATGAAGAGTGAGACAGCAGATTTGCTGGTGCGTGGTAAAGAGCTCGCTTCGCGGTGCTGGGTCGAGGACGAAGATTTCTTGGCGAAGGACAAGATTGCAGAGTGGCTCGGCGGACAGTGAGTGCCGACTCTCAGCGGGTTATTTATCTGACATTCTCATGCAGGGGTCTCATTAACAAGACGGCATTGCGATTCTATATGGACTACTTTGACTTCTCCGGACTACGCTTGGATCATGCTTTTAGGTCAATGCCACTCATTCTCGGCATAGCGAATATCAGCTGAAGCTTTACCTAGACGGCTGTGCGCGAAGCTCTATCTGAAGGCCGAGACTCAACAATTGGATCGGATTCTTGAAGAATTTGCACGGCGATATTTTGATTGTAATCCCACTACCATTTTTGGCAGCTCAAGTAAGTGAACAATTAGTCGCAAATGTGAATGAAAGCTCAACGGCGTAGGTGTTGTGCATGCGGTCACCTACTCACTTTTGCTACTCAACACCGATCTCCACGTTGCCGAGCTGACATCACGGATGTCCCGCGGCCAGTTTGTTCGCAATACTATTTCGACTATTCAGATGCAGCTACAGCCCAACCAGGGCTCCAATAGCGATCTTTCTTACGATGACTGGACAAGCTTCCGCGCCGGTTCTGAAAGCGATGTCGTCGGAACGACCGTGCGATCCCGGGCCAAACGCAGCGACAGTATCACTAGCTGGAATAGCATCAACACGCGGGAGGGCATTTCAACGCCTGCACCGCTAGCAGCCCATTCCACGGGACAACTAAGCCAGGTTTCGGACAGCGCAACACAGTCACCCATGAATGAGAGTGCCGTGTCTGTAGCCCTTTCTTCTGGCCAAGAATCCAGGAACCAGGAACTGGCCTCCACACCTATAATGCATGATCGCAACTGGGAGGTGGAGGTAGAGAGCATCCTCAAGGTGAGGACTCAACGAAACATGCAACCGTGGTTCTTACCATTCCTGATGATGATGAAACTATCAGGAAATGTATGCAGCCGTGAAGAGCCAGCAGATTCTGCAGCCTATCAATAGTGCGTTGTTGGCGCGACCGTCCACATCGTCGTTGAGTCCTCATGGACCACTGCTGCGACAACGCAGTTTGCGTACCGGGCCACCTGACCGGCTGAACAATTTGAAGCGAGGAAGTATACGAGGCTTACAGTCGATACTACAAGCTCAAGCTGGTGTTAGTCCGTACAGCAGCAATAGCAGCATCGACGGCCGGGCTAGCCCTGCACCCAGCTTCGCCAACTCCATCGAGGTAAGACCAGGATTTGTTGAGCTAATTGCCCAGGCTGATAGACTTGCTCCCAGGGCATTCGCAACCCTTCCACTGCATTCCTCACACCGGCTCTTGGTTTTGCTTCTAACTTGTCACATACCATCATCCGAGAGACGCAAGAAGATGATCATCTCAGTTACAAGAGTGACTTGTCGGGTACCGATGTTAGTATTACTGACGAAGAGCTGGCGCTTCTGGGTCCACCTTGGGCCAAGGAAGGCATGCTGTGTCGCAAGCAATATTGGGACTCCACGGGCAAGCGAGCAAAGTCCAAAGCATGGATGGACGTCTTTGTCGTCATTCAGAAAGGCGAGCTTAGTATGTTCGTGTTTGGAGAGCATGGTCACGGTGGTTCGGGCGTCGTCGGCGGCGGTAACTGGCTTGTGGGTCCGGTTACCGTGCTAGTGCGCTACGCAATACTGAAAATGAAATATACAGGAAAACGCACAGTCGGTAGGCAAAGTGCTCCTTGCCCACTCTCTTGCCCACGCGCTCCCTCCACCTGGCTACAACAGACAGCGGCCGCACTGCATGGTTTTGACGCTTTCGAACGGCGGAGTCTATTTTTTCCAGGCAGGTACTGAGGAATTGGTCAACGAATGGGTGTCGACTTGCAACTATTGGGCCGCGCGACAAAGTAAGGAGCCCCTCGCTGGCGGTGTTTCCAACATGGAGTACGGCTGGAACAGGGTCCTTGACCCGATTACCCGTGTACGATCAATCTCCGAAGACAATTTTTCTGTTCGCGACGGGGACGCTGATGATGGAGTGAGCATTCGCAGTGGTCGCAGCGGACGGAGTGGGAAGAGTCGCATTAGGGACATCGCAGCCACTGTGCGGGCGGAGAAGTCACCATGGGCTGACAGGACTTTCATCAACGACTGGAAGCCGCCCCTCCCTCCAAGTGTACCCAGCATGCATGACGAGGAGACCCAGATGGAGGCGCTGCAAAAGCACGTCACGTCTCTCAAAACCGACCTCAAGCAACATAATGCACTGAGAACGCCTATGATGAATCTGGTGAGCGCCGGTCTTCCCCTCTCCCCGTCTCCCTACACTTTACTCACATGCCGATAGTATCAACCTCGTTCGTCCAACGCCACAAAAGCGATGAGTAACTGGGAGAAAAAATCGCAATATTTGCTGACCGAGATTGTCAAGTATGATTCTTACATCGACTCGCTGCAAGCGGCGATGTCGCTCCGGCTCAGAAAGCGAGGGGAAAAGGCGATGGAGAGAGCGCTGGTAGTATCCAGTCCGACCGAAGGAGAATTCCCAGATACCGCCGCGAAGGGCAAATGGAAGGGACAGCCTGAAGAGGAGACGATAGAAGAGGGGGAGGAGCCGCCCGCTAGTGCTTGTCCGGAAGCTTCATCACCTGTACACTTCCACCGCCGGGAGCTTGCTGAGACGGGTGAATCACCAACGTGAGAGTGGTATACCCTATACTCGTTCCCGTGACTATCTATGTATACCGCTGTACTTACGATTGTGCTGCTACTACTTTTAATGACTGCGTAATGAATGTTGATGAATTTGGATTTGCGGGCGATCTAATCACTACCAATTGCAGTCCAGGACCTTCGACATCGAAAAGAAAATGAACAGCTATAAAGCCCGGTAACAGTATGGAATACATGATTCGTGGACCTGTATCGAGAACATTGATGAATCTGTTAACACAATAATCTATGACATCTACTAATCCTGATCGTACACGCATAGGCAGGAATCACAGGGATGTGTTGAGAAAGCGGAGAATCAGAACTCGAAGCAAAACTGCTGCTACAAGATCTACGCAGAAAAGATAGAGGCATATAGATCACCGGACATGATGGGAACAACACACATCGGCGCGACGGCTTCCTAAGTAAGCAGTACTAGGCACCGACGCCATCGTCACCAGTCTTACGGCTGGACGACTGCGTCGAGGCGCTGGTAGAAGTCCGTCGCTGCCGCTTCATAGAGACGTTACCCGGAGAGCCCAACCCTATTCGTGTCGTGGGGGACATTCGGGTGCCGTGAAGACCCATTGGCATCGAACTCGTTGTTGCAGCCCGCGGTCGAGTAGCGGAGGACGTGATCCTGGGCAGGGCAGATGCACCCTTGCGGGATGTACTGTGCGGGGTGCCAGACGCTCGATTCCTGCACCAACGTACGTCAGCATATTTTAAACAGTAGGTCAAGGCCATCAGGTTGCTAACCTCTTCTTGATAACATCCGTCTTCAGAGACAATGGCCTAACCACACCATGCAACTTCTACAAATGGCGACAAATGAGCCTCGAATCAAATAAATTACGAAATCGCAACTTACGTAGAACAGGCCGCACGCGTTACCTGATGGGAAGATATTAGTGCAGATTCAAAATGGAGCGGAGCAGATTCATACACAAGGGCTGGCCCTCCGGGTCCCTGCGCCAAAGGGGTGTATTTGTGGTCTGGCAGTTGGTACAAACAGTGGGGCTCTGGTCACCATCTTCTCCCGCGCCCCCCGCGCCCCTCGCCGTGGTAGAAACCTCAGGGCTACTGTAAGCGGGTTAGCTCAGATGACTTGGTGTAGGAGAAATCTCATCGATACTTACGTCTTTCTGTTAGTGGCCCGCGTGTCCTGCACCACACGTTTCGACGACGCAATCTTGCGTGGCGGATTGCGCGAACCTGCGCCATTCTCCGCGGAAGGTGGCGTAGATGCCGTCGACGAGTGGTAAGGCTCAGGCGAAGCATTGGAGCTGGAGTTCACACCGTTCCCCCAGCCGTCGCTGGATGGACTGGGATGGAAATTCTGGAAAGAATTCTCTTGGGTGTCCACAGGTAGAATATGATGTGGATCAACATGAGTAAATGGGCCCATTCCGGAACTACCGTCAAGGCCAGGATACATCATGCCAACTAGATGGTTGTAATCCAACGGTTGTTCTAGGACGTTCATGTGCGCAAAGCCTTCTGCCACTGCAGCGGAGGCTGCCACAGCTGCAGGTGAGAGCGTCTCTGCTCCGGGGCCAATTGGCGCGGGGAAATTGTCGTGAAAGGAAGCTCGTAATGGATCATGATATGAAAGACTGTCCGATGGCCGAAGATCTTTCACAGAGGGAAGAGTTGGAGGCGGGAGGTTGGTTGGTGGCGCACTGGACAGGTCAAAGAATGTGTCATAACTTGGGAAAGTAAAGTTGAACGAAGATGAAGGGAAGGGACTGTTACGCCGGAATGGCTCAGACTCGGAAGGATCGATATGCTCTTGAGGTGGGATGACAGGGAGGTCACCGCGAAGCATTCCGTCTGCGTGTGGCGCATCTGCACGTCGCTTGATTCCAATAAGACTTTCAGGCGACAATGGCTTCCCGTTGACTTGGTGTCGACCACTCACCCCGGTAAATATGCCTTCCCTCGTCACAGTATGATCAAAGCTTGTTTTCCGGACATGCTTAGGGAAGGTACGCTGCTCAGGCGAAGTAGCTGTGGACGTCGATAATCTAGAAAGACCGTGCAAACCGAATGAAGGGAGGGAGGATGGATGATGCGATGGGCTGTTCAAGGCGGAAAACGACTCGACAGACCCCAACCCGTGTACATCACCCGACTCGAGCACAGCGGACAGGCCTGGATGCGGACTTCGACGACCAAAGGACGATGTGCCTGGAATGGGTATGTGATGAGACATGGCTGAACCCTTTGGAGGCGACGATGAGGGAAACTTGATATGGCTGGTCTGATCAAGCCCCACTCCAGCCAAGGGTGGTCGTGAGCGTGAGCGACTTGCCGGGCGCCAATCCATTGGCGCACGAGAACGAGACCTACTCAAGGCCCTCCAATCCATTAGCATCTCACTGTAGGTGAATACATCAGAATGTCTATAATGACATGAAGGAAACTGCACGCACTCTCCATCCTCCACACCATCTTGATTCGCGCCATCGAAGCCAACGACCTGCACTCGCGCTTTCCCCTTGTCAGTCGTTCTTCCTCGCTCAGCCGGTTCCTCCTTGATCAAAATCGTTTCGCCGCCAACGGACAATTGGCCAGAGCCGTCGAAATGATGACCGTCCTGCAGCCTCTGATCCAACTCCTTCATCCTGTCTTCGTCCTCTTTCTTTTTCTTCAAAGCTAGCGCCATCATCCGCCATGTTATGTTCTCCATTCTCTGTGCATGGGGCAGAGTGGCTTTAGTACGCGCATACATTTTCCAAACTTGAGTCGCCAGTGGATCTTCCTTGGCCAACTTCTCAGGATCCGCGTCCACCATTGCCAGCTCTATAGATTTCAGATCGGGCGACCCAGACAACCGTGGAGAAGGGAAGTTCTGAGAGCCTTGGCCATCCAGCGGTGAATTACGTGGGAAGAGATCATCAGTGAACAAATCCGACAACATGCGTTCCTTTGGGCTGCTAGCTGATGTAGGTGCACTCGATTTGTTCTGATCACCATATAAGGAGAGATTCGTGGGGCTCTGTGCTGACCCTGATAATGAATCGGTAGTGGATCCATGCTGCGGTACTGCTAGCTGCGTCAAAAGTGGGTATGGGGCTTCCGCCAGAGAAACGACGGAGGGAGTAGGCACTGAGGCTGGAGACATATATAATGACGGAGGGAGAGTCAGTTCATGCCGTTCACTTGGGAAGTGCGCGCCAGAGTTGAGATCCACAGACGGTAGGGGTGCGTGAAATGATGGCGAGAAACCGTCCAAGTGCGATTCGTTCAGGGAGCCGAGATGTGCATCGTAGCGGCCACTAGGGCCCGCAAGGTCGGATCCAGTCATCTGCTGGCTCAATGAACTGCGTCTGCTATGAACGTTATATGAAGCCATGCTGTTAGAGACGGAAGTCGACGGTCGTATATTAGCGGGCCCGTATGGAGGCATACCGCTCACAGGAGATTTTCTCTTGCTGTACGGATTGTTTCCGGGACCAGGTCGAAAATGAAGGGGTGAGGCTCGTTGCGATGATGAGGGGGTAGAGGAATACGGAGAGGGGACATTGGACCATGACTGCGGTGCGCCCTGCCCAGCACTCGGCCGGCCGATGTCTTTCGTGTTGAGCGGAGTAATGCGAGGATTCATGGAGAACTGTGGCGACGAACGGCTATATCTGGCGGGCATACTAGAAGGGACTCCGCCGGTAGGGGGTCCCAGCACGCCAGAAGCGGCGAGGGCGGCAAACGTTGCAGGGTCGAGCGGCGAGGAGAACACGTTCCCCCATTCTTGGTTCGGCAAGGATGAGATGGAACTGTGCTGTGCCGAAGTATCGCCAGGATGAGGCGCAGCAGAGGGGACAGAGTGTTGAAGCATGAAGGGGGCAGATGGAGAAGAGCCGGGGATAGTGAGGGGGGGCTGGGCAGGCCAGGGGGATGAGTGGGCGGAGGAGGGGAGAGAGGACGGGTGGGGGCTGAGATCAAGGGTGGTGGAGGATGAAGCAGAGCGGTTGAGGACGGTGCCCGAGGCAGACTGGGCTACAGGAGACCAAGGACGAGTGATGGCTTCGTTATACCCTCGGACGGAGGACGTCGGAAGTTCCATAGGACGCCTCTAAGCTGGGGAGATCAGGCGTGAGGGGTGAGAATCAGCGAAGGGTTTCGGTAGACGCACAGGATATATGAGGGGATGGCGAACGAAGAGTGCCGCGGCGTAGTCATCCACCTGGGCGAGGGAACGCGGCGGCGAGGAGGATGGCGAGAGCGACCGCGAGGATGCGGACGGTGGCGAGGAGGAGGCAGAGGACGTCGTCTGGAGCTGAGGCCTGAGGAGGGCACGGACCGCACCCGACCACGTTAGAGGACGAGTCCAAATAACCCGCTCAGACGCTTTTGCCGACCCGATTTTGCCAGTTCCCGCGCTCAATATTTTCCCTGCCTTGCCTTTCTGGGGCACCTCGTTCCCACGCCCGCCCTCGCCCTCGCTGCCGTCCGCGTTCCCGCCTCGCCCGCCAGCAGCGCCGACGACCCTCCCGCCACTCCCACCCCCGCCTCGAGGATGCACCCATCGCACACGGCCTGTTTCAGCCTGCTATCCGTCGCACGCTGCCGTGATTTCACATGACGGAGGCCCTCCCATTCCGCGTCCGGCCTTTTTGCGCCTCGCATCAGCACTCCCGGCCCACTCGAACGCCATGTCTCGCATCTGCCATTCGGCCACCGTCGGACTTGCCTGCTGCAGTTTCAGGCAGGCCATCCATCGCCAACACCCACCAGCTACACAATCTGCCGTCCTGGATCGCCGCTTGTTCGTCGTCTGTGGAGTCGCGGAAACGCGACCTCGGGCAGGCGTCCACTGCAAGTACTCTGCTCGTGCATTCTTGCACTCTCTTTGGGATGCCGGCTCACAATGGAGAGGCACCAGCTCGGCACACACCGGCGCATTCACTAGTCCACATGTTGTTGAATCTTGCTGTCGCCATCTGCTCACATGCATTTGGTTTCCACAGTCTCCCTCCCAGACGCCGCCCGTGCACTGCGTCGCCCCCAGCTCGCGCTGTTCGGCCGCAACGACCAGTTTGACATCTTCCCTGAACTCAAGGCACAACGAGGTGCGCCCATACGTAACCGCCCAGCTACAACTGGCCATACACAGCGCGTCTCTGCCATGCTGCACAGTGCATGCGCTTTCCGATCACTGTGCGGTATTTGATGTCGATATGAATTGCTGGGTGTCCCATGACGCCCCCTGCCGTCTGCTTCGGGATGAGGTCTCCACAGCTCCAGCGTTCCTCTCCGACCACAGCTGGAACGCACCGCATACACCATTATTCCTTTCTACATCTCCATTCGCCCATCGACTACTCATTACCCATCTTTTGGCGACACACCGATGCTCCCTCAAATTCAGGCACCCATCAGGTAGCTGTCTCAATGGCGTCGCTCGCCTCTGCGGCAAATTGGTTTCCGGTTCCGAGCGGCACTTTTACTTCTTCTGGAACGGTTCCACCCTAAACTCCGCGAATTCGCCACCACACGGTTCGATCTGGCATGCTTTGTGAGTGAGCCCTAACGCGCCTTTTCCTTCCTCAACCACTGAACTCGCACTGACGCAACGCTTGCTGCATGAGACACCGTCCCGCGGCAGGTCTTCTGCTGTGTAGCGCGGATCGACCACAAGCGAACCGCTGGACGTGCACAACTACGTCTTAGACGCCCCATATGTTCGTCGGGACACCTCTCGGCAGCATTGGACGCCCGGGGTTGAAGTCGCTGTGTAAGCTGTTGGCTTCCACGGCATTTTGGTCCTATAGAGTTCCGTCGCCGCCGCGCACTAACCCAAACGAGTTTAGCGTCGGCGCCCAGATCACATCCGCAACAGTCCATCTGCGCATGCTTGTCTTCGGATTTCCTCTTGAGGGGCTTTGTACGAGGGTTCGCTTCTGGACCTTGGTATTCGCCTGTTCATGCGTCATGGTCCAGACGGCCTTCGTGCGTGCTGGTGGGAAGGGCTGTGGGCAGTCATTTGGCGTCTCTGAACCCTCTCGCCTTCGACTCCGACCTCAACTTCCGCTTCAACGCCGTCGACAGCATCTTGTGATTGCTCCCACCGAGATCCCCCGTGGCATGCCGTCTATTGAATACTAATGGAGGAAGATGAAGACAGACGTCTGGCTGATGGGTGCTTCCTCGAGTCCCCCATACCTGGCAAACTGGGGCAACACTGCTGGTTTTGATGAGTTCCCAGTCAAATCGGGTTATGCACGTTCTCACAAGAGCCGCCAGGTTGGCTTCGTACGCATTGTCTTCAGTCACCACTGTGGTCTTCTCCGCTTCTTCTCTTAGCTGCGGGCCCCTGCCGTAACTCGATCCGGAGGGGGGAGGGCCACATCGTGCCTGGAAGGTGGCTTAACAGTGTACTGCTTTTAGATCCGTTGTTAGGCTCGGATGCGTGATTCATATTAGCTGCAGGTTGTTAGCTATGCGACCATGTCAGGCTGACCCTGCATACAAACTGATTCAATGCTTGCTGTCCGGTACGACTTTGGACCTATGGCGCTCAACAGAGCCAGGAACTTTGGTCGGTTCTCATTGACACGCGTTCTCCCACCGCCGCCGAAATAGTAACATTTTGGTCACACCGCTAGCGAGTCTCGACGGCATCTATTCACGAGGCCTCTCTTCTCAAGATCCGTGAGCTTCGTAGATCGTGGAGGCATCTCGTCTTCATCACCGGACCGCTCATGGCGGATTGATAACTGTACTTGACCTAATATGCACTGGTCGTGCAGAGCGAAGTGGTATGACAACATGATGCGGGCTCTATCCGCATGCAGTTTGCCGGCCATATAACAGTGCGTGGTCCATTGTTTGCTTGCTGCATGTGCCGCTGTGGGATCGTGTCTGTATTGTTTTACCAATCCAGATTAGCCACAAATTCGCTGCCGTTTGATCATGCATACAAAATACTGTGTTCCTATTACTTTGGCTTGACAGATGTGATGTATCGTGGGATGAGCTGGCAATCCATAAGGATTCGGTGCGGCACGATCACCGTATTGTACCCAGCGTTGTCCGTACTGCTCGAGGCATGCTGGTTGGTACTGCTCGTGCCATGTCGACACATGGTACTAGTGCGATGCACTGATCCACCTAATTGAACATCCGCGCCTGCGCTTGAGTAAATGTGCCGAATGTAGCCGAACGCCAGTGCGACAATCGGAGGTCCGCGGAACCACTGACTACGTCCCCGGGTCGACTAGAACCGGATGATTGAGACCTTTATTACGTGAAAAGTGGAAAACAAATTCGATAACGGACGGGAGTGCTGGAAAGCCTACCAGCCAAGAGGCTCAATGGCTGCATTCCGTTGAGTGGTTAGCAGTCGCATACCAAGGGACACATTTGAAGGATCGGCGTATGGAAATTGTCGAATTTGTTTCAATGAGAGGCCGATTGCAGGCGCATGCACCGAGCTCCGCGTAGGATACACTTGCTGGCGACAATGATATCCCACCAATCTCATCGGTACATACTAGGAAGACCGGACCATAAATCGATAGTGTCCCACCAAGAACACACTACCGGTCCAGGGTCGCACAGCCTTCGCCGCTTGTCAGCACACATCGACCGAGATTATTACGAGGGACAGTAAATACACTCACATTTCGAGATCAGAAGGCCACTTTTTGCCCCAGCGCGATCAGGTACTCAATCAATGAAGACGTTTGACGAGGTGCATAATGCTTTCCTGCACTTGACAGATGAGTCCGACGCGTCGGCTTGAGGACGTGCAGACCGACGGGTCCAGACGAGTGGGGACATCGCTTTGTGATTTGCAGTGCCGAGGTCGCGCATCCGCACCGTAGCCCGAATATTACATGTGGACCGTGCTGAATCAGAGAGTTGCCATCAGAATGGCGTAGTAAATATTCCCACCTTGGCTCCCCAAGACACACTCGAGATCAGAATAATTTCACAAGGATGGCCGCCCATGAGGGCAGATGATCAGGCGCCGAGTTTCTGGAGCTCAGCGCGAATGGCCGCCATGCAAAGTGGCGCTAGCTGGGCCACACTGGCACTTGCACCACCGGAAAGCAGCCGGGATGATGCTAAGTAACATAGGTGGAACCAGAGAGACTGTAGCCGCGGATGCAGGAGAGTCAGCAACAATTGGGGAAACAATTGGGGCATCATTCAACCTCCTTGTCCGGTGTTCACTTGCAAGCTCTGCTTCGAAAATATCACGAGGGCATAATTGGACACCACAGATGCTCCGCAGTATACCTACCACCTTTTGGCGGGATGGGGTAACGGCGCTCATAGAGCCACATTGAAAGGCCCGGCTGCCGAACCGACGGTATTGCTTTTTTAGTAATTAGTCCGGCGGCTGAAGGTTCGGGGTATGTGACGTACCAGCAAGATTGGTCGAGGAGCAGTTGGATTCGGGTTGATCTCGCCATGCGCCTACTACGTTAGTGATGTCGATCGCAGTAATCGAGAGATGAGGACAAGAGCCGCGATCGTACCTGCAGTAGATAACGGCCGTCAATGGATCCAGAGATCTGTAGGAAACATATATAGTATAAGGTGATAAGGCGAGCAGAGGTCAAGCGACCTCACTTGGACCCCCAAGAATCGAGATAAGTTCGAGTTGATGATGACGCATGCAGCCGCGAACCAGCGTTTTAATTTCAGCCATCTGTTAGTACAACGAGTCAATAGATAAGCGCAGTAACTTGATTGCAAGCACCTACATTCTAGTATTTGCGCTCCTATCTTGGAACTTTCGTACTATTGCCGTAAGCCTATAGCTACACGTGGTTGCCGATGTGATTCACTGCGCCAGCCTGGACTCGGATCCGGATATCAAGTCGAGGCGAAGTGAATCGAGTGAGAAGAATACTTGAGGCCAATGTGCTTACCTGGTTCCCTCCATCTTCTGCATAAAACATTCTTATGGGGTCGAAGTTTAGTTGCAGTAGACTGCGACAGATAATAAATAATGCTACGGCGCACATCAGACGGTGGACATGCGACACAAACATTTCGATCCGTACGGGAGCAAAGGGGCCTGATAGCAGGTCACCTCACCTTCTCGATCACCATCCGGTCATATGCTTCTCTGGAACAGTGGTCATCATACACGTATTGTGACCGAGAGTATCACCAATTATACGACATTCAAGTTTTCAACAACATCGAGCGCTTGCCTATCAAATGTGCTGGCAAGCGCCACCGGTCATTGTATCGCGATCATTTTGATTTAGAAAATATTCATTGATGCCATCTGGTGTCTTTTCTAACACAGTGTACATTGTCACATGAGAATAGGTAGATGCAATGATACAAGGGCTCAGGACAGCGTAGCAAAACCAACCGACTGCTTATCAAATGAGAACACGGTGTAGACGTTTTTCATGTAGCTGTCACCAAGTAGCCAGACGTTGGTACCCAGCCCAAGATTTTGGCCAGCAAGAGCGCCCACACACCGACTCGAAGTGGTAGAGGTTTTGCCAAGGTTAAAACTAGCAGCAGGAGCGGCAATGAGTATGAAAAAATCAAGTCACATGAGGGGTACGCACTTAGCTGCACTGATGGCCCAGGATTTTCCGCCCCAGCTAAACGAGACCTTGGGGACAGAGTTGCAAGGAAAAGAGTAATAGCCATTGGTGGAATCAAACACTTGTGCTCCAGGCACTTTGGAATAGAAGGTTTTGACAGCGGACGGGGGACCGTACATGATTGTGGTACCAGAATCAATGACCTAGATAAGGATTAGGATCGAGGTCTAAGAAGAGATAAGCAGACTAAATTCGCACCGTCTGGAACCCCGACATGGCTGTGGTAGTACCCACCAGAGCTTTCGCATTGCTCGCCTGCCAGAAGCCGGTACCCGGCACTGAATGATACTCGATTGAGCCAGTGTAGAGTTTACTATCAGTGCCCCCGAGGTACAACTCTGATCCACTTGATGCGAGCTTCATCCCGAACACACCATTCGGCACAGTTTTTTGTGTCATGGCTGTGTTGAAAAAAGGACTCTGCAATTCAACTTGTTGGCGACGCATTCTGTATTCATAATAGTCTAATGATTTTACCTCGCGCAGCTGTGAGATACCAGGATACGCCATCCCAAGGAGGCCGTCAATAGGATCATTCGCAAAGCTGTTCGATAGCGTGGTCACAGGCGAGAAATATTGACCTGTCGTCTTGATACCAGCAACAACGACTGTTGCAAATGAGCCAAGGCCAATACTTGAATGCGGAAGAGGACATACCAGTCTCAGTATATTCAGGCCCTGATACCGTGGACCCATCACCGTATTCGATCGAGAAAGTGCCACTCTTTGGCACGTCGGAGGACGACTTGGCGGCGGAGTACCTACTCTTCGAAGTACAAACCGCACTCGTGCAGTTGATCGAAGGAACCCACAGGTCAGACGAGCCAGCTGTGTGATTTTCCGGGCTGAGTTGAGTGATAGGTAAGCAAAATCAATATACTCACTGTCGAAGTCGATCAGGAAGTTCTGTGCAGGAGTTCCGATGGAGATGGTACCTGCCCACTCCAGATCGTTAGATTCGTCGGTCAATGGCTCATTCTGACGTTTGTCGTGACTTGGGACCTCGTAGGTACGGATAGGCAAAATTTCGGCACCCTACACATGTGTCAGCTGTGACTTCCCGTTAATCAAATTGGAATGTATCAACCTGATTGAGTGCCTCAGACCCTTTGTTCCGCTTAAGGTTGATCAAGTTCTGACGATGCTTACTGTAGGAATATGTCAGAGACGTTACCATAGTGTACAATGAAACCGAAGACTCGACTTACTTATGTGTGCGGATTGTCTGCTTGATGGCTTTCTCGTGATCAAACACGCCGTCTGCCCTGGTCAAGTTATTGCGTTTGTGCAAGGCAACTCGAGAACCAGACTCCTGCGTCACTGGAGAGGCAGAGCTTAGCGACGCGAGGGCGACAGCGAACAAGACAGCTTTGCAAAACATAGTGAGATAACGAATGGTGTTTAAAAGATCGAGGTAGATGCAGTAGTTGCAAGGACAAGTTGGTAGGTAACTACGACGCACCAGAGGGCCTTTTATGCGTTTTCTGGCCCCATGGCCAAGCTCTCATGAGAGGAGTATTCGAGAGATATCCTCTCCCGTGTCCGAGACGGACAACATGTCCGTCGGAAGACATGTCGGGAGATTACACGCTCTACCGAGGTCTATCTTCAAGTAAAAGCCCAGGCCATAGTGATCAAGACTAGGAGCGGACAGCGTCTCGATCGGTCGTGAGATCCAGAGTGTCGACGAAGAGCCTCTGAGTCTTGTCCCTCCATGGTTGTGGGCGGTGGGAACAACTTGTAACTATTTCTATGCCGCGTGCGCTGCATGGTGTAGTCCTGAGCTCCTATTTTCGGGTCAAATCTGCAGTTGAAGACCACTGAACAGTCTCCAATGAGAGAGTTGCCATGATGCAGACCCGATCATAATAACCCGAGATCCGTCACGGTAGCGGAAAGACGTGGACCTGCAGTAGATCTTGATCACTACACAGACGAAAGTGGTCGCGGAAGGATGTGCTTCGGGTTGTTGTAATTGGGGTCGATAGCACATACTGACTCGGACATGTGCCCAGACCACGTTCGCGTCGTGTTCCCGTGATCGATCTCGTGGCCGTGTTTCAGTTGGAATCAATGCAGCGCGGCGACGTGAACGATGAATGCGCCGTTCGACTCGGCTGGCGGGGCGAAACTATTGGCAGGTGCGAGCAAATTGGACAGATTATTTATTTATTTAAACAACGTGGAATTTCGCCATTGCGAATGCGCAGTCGACACAATGATACATTGAATAGTATGAGAGCTGTGATGGTAGTGGTAAGTAGTACGAGCACTAGCAAATTAATGATTGTTGCAGCTGTGAGGTCACCCGGTATATCATTTTGCCCACCTGGCGGCATTCGTCAGGGAGCTCGCCCTTAGCTCAGTGAAGCACACTCCTGAATGACGGCGTCGGTCACTCGAGAGAGAGCTGCAATGAGCCAAAGTGAACTCGTCTGACGAGTACGGACGGTACCCGGAGGATAGCCCAAGATAAAAACTAGGCAAAGCAAATGGAAGTAAAGGGAAAAGGAAAAGCAAGACAGAGGCTCCGAGTTGAGCATGTTATAGGTTGAACCTCCGCGATGAGTACCTTCGCGGTGAGCCGGTCAATCACCCCCATAACTGTAGCAGTCCTCAACGAAGGTAAATTAGACCTGCGGTCACAAAACAGTTCTTTTACCAGGCACGTATCGATTGTGATACATCTTAGCTCCTCCGCTTCTTGCCCTTTTTCTTCTTGTCCTTCACATCCTCTCCCCCCTCGCCTTCACTTGCAACAGCACTGACGGAATCTACAGCCGTTGTATGTTCCGACGCTGAAATCAGTTCGGGAGAGCCACCATCCGTGATATCCGACGGAGTCTGACCGCTTTTCGTCTCAGGCTCGTCACTCCATGCCCACGCATGAGTCAATTCGTGTCGGCCGAGTGCCGTGAGGAAGAATGACATTATACATGCGGGACTGGTGAAGGCACCGGCGTCAGGCATAGGCCCAATTTCTCGACCGAACACTCACCTCAGGTACAACAGTGCTGGCTGTGCCTTTTTAAAGTAATGCAT